GTTAAATGTGAATTTGTTTTCTCTGGATTCATAGCGACAGAGTGGCTGGTGCTGATGTTCTGTGAAATTGTTTGTGTTCAACAGAACAACCAGGCCCGTCAGAGTGGCAAGCTGCTTCCTAGCTGCCTGGGGCACCCAGAAAACCAAAGATACACAAAAAGTCACTTGATAGTCTTGTCTCTGTCCTTTTCGTCTTTGAGCACGTGTTTTATAAATGGCTGTGACCACTTTTCCATGCCAACAAATCCCTATCCTTATCTTCACTTTTTAATGACTCAACACAGCCTTTTGTGAGTGTGCCGTGTGGCATTTTACTGTGACTCAGAGACAGACCTCTCATTTTCCATGTGGGAGACTCAGGGTTAATTCCCAGCCAAGGCTTCTCACCCGCAGCCACCTTCTGCCTTGTTACTGGGATGCTGAGCAAGCTTCAGCGGCACTTCCAATCTAAGACAATAGGAAGAAAGGACTGGCGCTCTCCGTCCCAATTATCAGCCAATGAAAAAACTCCGTGGAGCTGAACTGAATGTCTTTTTGTGTAACTTCATAGCTAACTTGGTTCGTCAAAGGCACTTTCCACCTTTTTCCTCATTTCTGACCCCATGGCACTGTCTCTACCGGGTTCGATAATTCATTGCACAGAGTCATGGAATCAGTTGTTGTCCCTGCAACCAAAGAGAGAGACGAAGGTATGCAGTTGGCAGGGGCTAGGGGCTTGTCTATCTCCTGAGAACCTATGGGCACGTTCAGATGACCCATGGCGTCTGTGCTGTTTACGGAGGAGGGTCCATGCTGGTTCTCTTGCCGCTGGTCTACAGCTTTTACCCAAGTCTGAGGGGCTTTGTCCTAAGACCAACTCTCAGCCTAGAAACCCTTTACATAGGGCATTTCTTGTCAGTTTCAAGGCGGGGCCTTCCTAGCCCTATCAGAGCCCAGCAATTCCTCCATTGTCCAGGAAATGCCGATCTCAGAATTCCTTCTAAGTTGTGCTTTCCCACAAACCCAGGGCAAAAAAGGCCAAGTAAGGGACGCCGTTGCACAGATCGTGGGGGTGGCCCCGGACCAGGCAGTGGTCCCTTCCGTTGTATAGGGTGACTTCACATGTTGGGACCAGCTCGCTGCCAGCTAACACTGGAAGTCTGTGATGAACATCTGTGTGCATACATCTGGATGGGGACCGTGGCAGCCACTCGCTGCATTCTAAGGTCTTAGCATTTCTGTTTACTGAGTGGGGTTGCTTTTTTAGTTTGTACCACAGAGGAGCATTGTCCACCAGCCGGCTGACATTTCAGTCAGAGGAGGGAAAGACCTAATGTGTCTGGTGGTGACAGTTGCTCAGGAGGGGAAGAGAAGGCAGCAGGAGGGGGACAGAGAGAAAGTGGGGTTGCTGCCTTCTGTGGAAGTGACAGGAGGGGCTGAAGAAGGGTGAGAGGATGAAGCCAGCATGACTCAGGAAGCAATGTGGAGGGCACTGTGTCCAGGGTGGTAAAGACGAGTTGACGGGAAGCTGTGGAAGGAAGGCCCCAACCGAGGAGTTTCAGTTGTCAGGACTGAGGGACAATGCAGGAGTCCACGGGAGGACAGTGGCTTGGGGAGGGATGGGTCCTGTTCGTTTTGGTGATTTCTCCGTCAGCATGAATTGGCTCACACCTGCCCTCTCTGTTGAGTGACCACTTGATTTTCTCCGGTTGTAAATGGCTTTCTTAGGACTTGTCCCTCTTTTCTTTTTCTGTTTTGAAAGGTTGGGAATGCCTGGTGTCCCTTGGGCATGTGCTACCAGACTCTGCCCCAGGTCACTTGCTTTTGAGTCTTGTCTAAATCACTTCCTTTGTCTTTGACCATTCAGAATTTTACCTCGTACCTCTTCCCACCCTGCCCTGCTGGCCTTTGGGACCACAGAGGGCGGGTGTGAGTGTCACTGTGTTTGTGACAGGGACAGGCACCTGGCCAGGATGAGGCAGGTGGACATCTGTGTCTTGGTTTCATCTGTCCTCTGGGTTCTCTCCCCCTTATCAAAGCTTGCTGGGGGTCCCGTGGGATGTAGCGATGGCAGGTAAACCCAATTCAGTCATCACCAACCTTGGTACCTTCAGGGAACCCACCTCTCATTGCTTTCCTATGTAGGCCCATA